ACTTTGACAAGGGCTGCTGAGCAGGCGCGGTGCATCGCTGGGCCCCAAATTAAGTTTCCTTCTACGGGAATGCTCTTCGAACATCACGAGCGCTCGAGATGTGCGGATCCAAGGGCGATAAATTGACACGAGGACTTGTGACGGTTGCCACTATTTAAATCCAAAAACGATGTGAGGGTGCACGGAACAGTTATGGTCTGGCATCATCGCAAGCCGACCGCGACACCAAGAAAAGGAGCAGCAAGAACAGGTGACCCGCACAACGGACAAGCGAATCATCAGACAAATCGTCACTTGAGGAACATTGTGCTTCATTTCAGTAGTCTGGTGTTTCGTATCATGACAATCATTTATATCTGTGAAGATTTCAATGAGGCAAACGGAAAGTTACGACACGGTCCAATGCCTGCGAGTAGATGCAGACGACGGAAAGTTGTTTAGCAGTCAAGTCTCCTGTGATGCAGAAATCATGAGCTCCGTTGCGTAACACGCTCGTTGCTAGCAACGAGCGTCTGTCGGCTCCAGGCAGAGACTCTTAGCCTATGCCCAGTCTTCTGGACCGGACTCCAAACGTGCTGAGGATGGGTCTCCGGTAAGTGCTCAACGAGTTGAGGTGTAGTAGCTCTGTCCAAAACTGAGCTCTTCCAACAACAACTCGCTGAAGCCCGAAATCGTGGAGCAGGGACTAGGTAGTGCAGAGTATTGCAGAGAGTGAGGGACCATGGACATGTCCTCCAGGTAGCATCCCTCATGTCAAAAGGTTCGGTTCGTCTTGACATGAGTGGCAGACCTGTCATGTTGCCTTCGCCGACGATCGCGTGCGGGCCTTCACAACCTGGAGGGGGGGAATGTGGCACGCAAACAGAATTACACCAGTGCACATCCCCAGTCGTGCTCTCACCAGAACAAGCTGCAGAATCTCAAACAACTGTCAGGGCCCAGGGCCTGTCAGTGCATCGGATACGTACCCTGAAGCTTCTTTGTCAGGCGGTGCATAGTGATAGTGATCCGTGTGAAGGTTGGCTCGGCCACTCTGCCAGAGACTCTGCGCCCCAGTCAGTACGCAAGCTGCGGGACCATTTGTCCTGATGGAATCGATTTGCTTGGACTTCCTGAGGACGTGACATGTGGGCGAGAATCACATCGTTTGATATTTTTCAAGAGGCCTGGAAGAGCATGTGAGTTGGACAGGCGGTAAGACCACTCAGCTAATATTTCACGGTTTGTTCAGCATCTGATTCGGAGAATTCTAGCGCTGAAACTGTATCTATCCCCGAATGTCAGCAACTGCTACGTTCTTCGGCGGCCGGGTTGAAATTCAGTTTGAAATGCGCACACAGGATCTAGAATCCAAGCCAGGGAACAGGGTGATGTCACTGATGGTACCTTGCGATTATTTGGTGGTCAGCCAGCTTATGGAGCTTGGCACTATATTTGCCATAATATATTCCACGAGGGTCGCGACGTCTACTGCAGGTCAGTAGCTGGCACGCATAGATCATGGATTCCAAGAGCTTTCGCCCAAATCCAAACATACACATGTGTGCGTACGTGGCTGTTTACTTAGTTAGCTTTCATTTATGCAGCAAACATCTGACCTCTCTGAGCTTGCTCGTGGAATGGTTGGGTGGTTTGGTTTAGGCCTTCTTCCAGTGGTTGTACACGTGATCATCCCCACTGCGCCCTGCTGTGGAACGGGTTTTGAGCTTCGGAGTCGAGTCACCCTCCCCCTGCACCCTCTCTCTGTGGAAGAGGGGCCCTCCGCACAGCCGCCCAAGGCTCCAGACCGTGTATTTGCGGGGAGGGGAGAGGCGGTGGGGCGCAGAACGCACAGCGCACAACCATGTGTGCATGTATGTGTGTGTGTGTGTGTCTATGCATGCATGCATGCATGAATGTACGTATGTATGTAGGGAGTTGTCTTTTTTCTGAAATTCTTGAGTTGTCATTGTGCTATGGTTCGGCGAAAAAGGCCAGTTTTATCAACGAAAAGCGCGCGATTTATCAAAGACATGTGCGTGCATTTTCAAGAACATGCGTGTGAATGATCATTCACATGTACAGGTTTTGTTTAGGGTATAGAGTTTAGGGTTTAGGGAATCCGTTGCACGTGTCTGAAAAATCTTTTCCATGTACCTGAAAAGCCCGCAACCTTGTGCCTGATAAGCCCGACCTGTTCTCAATAAATCCGGCGCATGTGCTTGATAACGCTATTCCATGTGTTGCACCATGGCACCTGAAAAATCATCACCCTATGTATGTATGTATGTATGTATGTATGTATGTATGTATGTGTATGTATGGGTATGTATGTATATGTATGTATATGTATGTATATGTATGTATATGTATGTATATGTATGTATATGTATGTATATGTATGTATATGTATGCATGCATGCATGCATGCATGTATGTATGTATGTATGTATGTCTGTATGTATGTAATGTATGTATGTATGTATGTATGTATGTATGTATGTATGTATGTATGTATGTATGTATGTATGTATATGTATGTGTATGTGTATGTCTGGTGCAGCGTCGCCCTCCCCCCCTCCCCCCCCCACCCCATGGTATCACCCCCTACCCCCCCTCCCTGTGGTGTGGTGTGGTGTGTTGAACCTCCCTCGTCCCCCTGTGGTGTGGTGATGGGTTTGGGGGTTATTTAACCCCGTTTTTTCCCCCCTGCGGTGTGGTGTGGTGGTTTCAGGTTTAGTTTTGAACCCCCCGTCCCCGCTCCCTATGGCGTGGTGGTGGGTGGTGGGTTTAGGGTTTAGGGTTTGCACCCGCAACCCCCCGGGCTCCGTGTGGTGTGGGTGGTGGGGTTGTTTAGGGTTTATAGTACATATATGAAAGGGTTTAGGGTTGAGGGTCAGCACTCACGAGGATCCTGGGCTCGGGGGGCCCATCCCTGTGACTGTTGGCACTTTTGAGACAAAAGTGACGACTCACGAGGATCTCGGGTGTATACCATGGAGAGGGATACCATGGCGGTGGGGGGCGCGGCACCGACACGCGACACGGAACCATAGTATACTATATTGTATGTATATGTATGTGTATGTATGTGTGTGTGTGTGTCTCGTCTCTGCAAATCATGACGCAGCTGCCCAGCCATCGTAGGTCCGCATTCCCCGCTTACTATGGACAAGTTGCTGACAGGTGATGGACTTCAGCAGTTTGCACCTCTTTTCACCGATGGCACTTGACATTGAGACTTTAAAGTGGCACTGATTAGCAAGTTAGTAGATCTGCTGCGACAGCCGCGCTTTCCCTCTCAAATTGTGTGCGTGCCAATGTGTAGCACGCGACGAGAGACGCAAGAACTGCTTCGGAAAAGAACTGCACCGCAGCGCGTTGCTCGTGCTGATTCTTGTCATTGTGACATATTGGGAATGTCGTTTCACTGCGCGGTTGTGACGTTGGCTCAAACGCGGGAAGTTTGTACATATACTATTCTGACAGCGGTCTCCTGTGCACGCAAGAAGTATTCACGATGTTGCCGACACAGCTGGCGAGACATGTGCTGCGAGTACTTCCATGCACCCGATACCTAAGACTGACTAGGCGAAAGGCCCGAAAACATGTTGGAAAAGTACGCACGGTAATGCTGAGCACCACCAGCTGAACGGCCAAAGTGCATGAAACCAAGTTGAGATGAAGGGCTGGGGCCAGGCTGTGTTCTGGTTATTCTGTGATCTGCTCTGAAGACGGGTAGCTGCGCAGGTGTACGGGCCATATGGAGGATATGGTGGCAAGGGAAACAGGATGCCCGTCATGCATGGCCCTGTCGGGGCCCATCCGATGCTTGACAGCAAAACTTCTTGAGATTGGACTCAGCGCATGCTTTTGAGGTAGAGAACAGGGTCTATGTCAGCAATCTTCCGTGGCATGTGGCATGGCAAGAACTGAAGGCGGTGTCGCTTGCCTGGTGATTGCAAAATCTTCGGACTGCCACTGTTGATGCTTGTAAGCTGACTTCTCCCTACCTCGGAGGACCATATGAAATCTGTCGGAGAGGTGGTGTACGCAGACATCTTCACAGAGGACCTTTGCATAGTCCCTTTGCAATCCTGCTCTTGCTTGCACGTTGGGTCATGTCCCTGCTCTGTGGCCAAACACAGCGCCCGGTTAGCAGGAAACCGGCCGATCCCGTGGATGCGGTTTGGTGGCCTTCCGCCGTGCGGAGGACGCACAGCGGGCTGTACAGTTCTTACGCTGACACTGTGTCCTCAAGCTTGTGAAGCGCGTTTACGTGAATTGCCGGTTAGTTCTTTGTTTTTCAGCGGCACGCCATCGTGCGCTTCCGCCTTGTGGCCTGAATCCGAAGATGTCATTCCCGAACGAACGGGCATGCTGAACTGCTGCTGTCCCCACAGCACTTCCCTTTTTCAAACCTCGTCGATAGATTCGAGCACCGTCTCAGTGCTGTGTCGGATCTTGCAGCTGCAAGCTCTGCGATTCTGGGGCGACAATCGTTTGGATCTTTTCATTGTTCAAGCCTGCTGTCGGCAGGTGGCTTTTCTGTTGATTCGTGCCCAGGTCCTGGAACTCAACGACTCTGAACTTTCTGGAAGGCAAATTGCCGTGCGGGAGGCTCCCTGCCGCCTGCGCTGTGAGCGCGAGTGCAATGGCGATCACGTCTGTGCAGGATCGGGTAGACCAGAGCACGGGCGAGCGAAAGGAGCTCGGTTGGGTGACGGCGGAACAGCGGAAGCATGGAGCCTGTGCCTCTTAGAGGACTGTAGGGTCTACGTCGGCAACCTTGCCTGGATCGCAACATGGAAGGCCCGCTGTGAGCCTAAATCAGCTTCTGTCTGTTCTCTTTGTGCGCTGAGAGGACCTGAAGGACCACTTCAGATCTGTTGGCGAGGCCTTGAAAGCGGACGGTGGAAGCGGATCCAGCCCCCGTCCTGGGACGGAATCTAACGCTCGCGAGTCGCAGAGGTGAAACGAGCGGACATCTTGAGCGAAGGCAACCTCGAGGGCGCTCGATCAAAAGGCGACGCGCGGCCATGTGCTATCGCTTTTGCGGTCGGATGGATGCAGTAGTGTCGGGGGCTTGTGCAGTTCAGAAATATTCTCGCAAGGCGCCGGCATCGTGGAATTCAGCACAAAGGAGGAGGCTTGGGTCGTTGGGTCCCTCTTGCGCTTCGCTGGCCGATCTGATTGAAGATGCCGTGTGAGACTTGTATCCGGGCGACGAATTGCGCGCCGCTCGTGGTGCGCGATTCGAGCGTTTAGATGTCGGTCTCACTGCAGGCGTCAGCTGCCGTCGAGCAGCTAACTGGCACAGAAATCCTCGGAGCCCAAGCTGCACAGCCGCGGAATTCCGTGGGGGGCCTTTTTGTCCATTCTGATCTCAACGGAGGCCGCAAGATCTTTGTGCGTGAGGACAGAGAGTGCGGTCCTCGATCCGACTGCTCTGACACGAGCCTTCCCGCAAAGCATGTCAACTGCCCGACTGTAGTGATGCTATACACGGCAGCTATCAGCAAGGTCGAACCGCCCACAGACTCTAGCGTGGCCACCAGGAGATGTTGCAACCTCGGTAGGGCGAGAATCAGTGTAATGAAGATTTGAATCGACTGCTTTGAAGGTTTGGTCCAGGGCCATGGTGGCAGTAGATAGCTCAGTGTAATACAAAGCCTTCGGACTTCGGCAGAAATTCCGCTTCTGTTGAGAATCAAGGTCGCTCAAGGGCCCGGATTTCGCAAGAGCCGCAAGCCCAAGACATCAACTGCTGTACGGAGCTTGGCAATCTTGGCACCAGGCTTCGCAGAGCCCTTCACGAAAGTGTTCGCAGGAAATCTGTAAGCATCCCAGAGTCCCGAATTTCTTGAGGGCGTTTGTTGCTCCCTGAACTGTGGCGAATTGCACCGTGTCTCCAAGGCCGTACAGTGTGACCTGGCAGCAGCTCAAGGACACTCCGAGTAGCATCCGCAACACAAGGATCACCAAGACAAGAGCTAAGAGATGTCAAGAGTAGGGGAGACTCCGGACGGAGACACGTCAAAAAGAAATGAATCGTGAGCAATGCAATGTGGAAATCTACCGCCCCCGGTCAGAGGTACAGTGCCCACATGGACGTACCTCTCACCTTGTGGCAACGGGCACATCCTAGTGACTTCGCAGTGTCCAGCGCGAGCCTTCTGCCCAACTTGCAGGATGCCAGAAACCTCAAAACCAGTCGCGCTGCTTGCGACCTGAATTTGCAACCCTGCCGATTCTCAGCGATGTCGCAGCAGCTGAGCCTCCCGGAGAACATGCCCGAGAAGGGAATGTGATAGCTGCAGCAGAAGGTGCACATCAACTAATTAGGGCGTGGTGGGTAGTGCCATGGAGAAATACATTTGCTGTGCGTTTTTCAATTCCTAGATTGATACGGCGAGTGGGTCCTCACGAGTTCTACTAGCCGGAATTTGAAGACGGAGTGAGTCGCAGCACTTTTCATGACCTGGAAAAGTCTTCCTTGCTGTTGCGGATGTCGGGTGCCGTCGTGGCCACTGCGCATATAGCAGAGGTCCTCCGGACACTAGAAGCCGTGGCTTGCTGCCTGCATTGGAAGCTTTCGCTGTGGCACGCCGGCCCGACTTGTCAAATGCCTGCTGGCGCAATTTCCACGGTCATCCGCAAATTACCAGGTCTGTCTCAGCTGCAGCAAGGAACGGCTGACCACGTGCTGGGTGTTCATCTTCGGCTGATGCTGCCATTTGGCACTACTGTGCACATTACGACTTGTGGTTGAAGAGGAGCTTTGCCAAACGCTGCATTACTCCCAGCACTAACAGCACGGGCAGCCTCCTTGTTTCCCGAGGGAGCTGGCAGCCTCAACCTCAACCTAGCTGTTGCTGCCTTCATTCAACTGTTGCTTCAGATCCTGAAGCCGATGCTAAGCGGCCTCTTGCGCATGCCGACCAAAAGGCCGAGCTGGGCCCTCGCCCGGGTCTCGCTGTCTCCGACATGAGCTCTGCACACGGTGCCAGGGCCGTCTGCCCCAGCTCGACGATCCATTTGTGGCAACAATACGTAGCACTTCCGCACTTCGGGGCTAAGCGGCAAGACTGAGACCAGACACAATGAACATCTCAGATCTATGGAGAAGAGAAGGCTAAGGCCAAGGATTCGTTACTTCTTCAAGTGAAATCGCTGTGTCCGCAGGATCACATGCGCCAAGTTGGAGAGGCGCAGATGGAAAGGGCAGCCTGTCACTTGCGAAAACAGAGATCGTTTCTCGAGGTGCTGCATGTGGAGATCCTGATGGACGACAACGATGCTCGCAGATCCAAGGCTCCCATGTTTCGATGGATTTAAGGAGGTGATTGGAAGTGCGTGTCACTCGCAGGCGTTTTGAGAGCTTCAGCTGCAGAATCGGGATTGGTTTCGAGCTGTCGGTGCAGGTGGTCCACTTGTTTATCTTACCCAAGAGCTAGCAGATGCCTATTCCGGTCCGTCCATGTCCGTCCCGGTGTCCTGAAGCGGTCGGTCCTTCAGCTCGGATTCGCCGGAGCGAGGGCTGCGGAGTGGTCGAGTTTGCCACCTTCGGTGCCGCGCGACGAGCCTTTGACTCAGTTCTGCTTTGCGATGCTCGGAGTCGCAGTTCTGAAGCGGGCAGCTTGGAAAGACTCTTGCATTGCATTCCTTTGTCATGCCCGTCTGCATTTGTTTTGCTCGTCTGGGGTTTCTGTCCGTGTATATTCCACGACATTGATCTTGATCCCTTGAATTTCGTGCTAAAAGATCCGTTGTTCGATGGCTCATCGTCCACATGGAATCGCAGGGCACGAACGAAAGAGGTGGAAAGTTAATCTGAAGGTCGTGGGGTCAGGGGAAACCCCTCCACACTAATTGGCAACAGAGAGGTCAAGCCGGGACAATCTGAACATGGTTGCTCGGCCGGGGGACCGGAAAAGCTCCGTTACCGAAGCCGCTGCAATGAGTGTATTGCGAATTGTGAATGTTTGGTCCTTGCGGTGCTGCAGGGAGGTTGCTGCCTGTGTCCAGATGGTGTCGTGCGGCGTTTGTTGCCAGCTCGGCAGACTCATACAGTAATTACCCGCCATTACCCGCTCTAACCCCCGAAGCAACGGAGGGAAAAAGGGAGGGCGGCCTCGGCGAACTGAGAAGCTTGTCGTGAACATCCCCCACGGTAGCATGCGCGGTTCCGGGAGTGGAGGGAGGATGAGGGAGGCACAGACGAGGACTTTCAATACAGGGCAGTCGCAAGTAAAGCGCAGAGAACTCGTAATTAAGCAGGCTGATGGCACAGGAGGGAAGCACCTTACGTTTCGACAGCTGATTCTGATAAGGCCGTGCAGTACCTCCACGACTCGATGCTGCAAGGCCATCAAGACTTGGTGAAGCGCCCATAGAATTAAAGCTCGGATGTGGCTAGGGGACATTCTCGTGTTTGCGTCCAGCCAGATTTGTTAGATCAGAATCCCACAGCTCGGAGGCAGGCTGATGTATGTGCGGGAGTATCATGACGATCTGAAGAATGCAGGAGGTCCAGCGACTGCCAGATCCTCCGTCTGATAATTCCCCCCTAAAGACTCAAGCCGATTGCAGGTGCAACTGCAACCAAGGCAATGGCCTCAGAACAATTTCCAGCCTCTACGTTTCTCCCACCTGAGCGCAGGATGTCAAAGCAGGGCAAAAGTTCCGCGTGAAGGCGACCCAATGCTTCACGGCGCGTGCATGTCGCACCGAATCAGTTCGTAGGATTAGAGCAGCCACTGTTCCTGCACAGCACTGCTCAGACAGCCACAACTGCCCTGTTACTCACGAGCTGCCCACCCTCACTCTGCTTGTGTCAACCGTCTGGTAGTTGTAAGGGCATCGAAAGTGCACAGGTGGGCAATGTGGCTTCGGGGACCCGCTGGCAGGACCTGAAGGAGCCAGACCAGCTCAGCCTGACTTTCGCAACCGTTTCGGTAAATGTCGCAGATTGTGCGGAGGGGTGCGATTGCACTTTAACGGTCCGGGTGTCATGCAGGGACAGGTAGTGGTTTGCGGAGCGGAGCGACGCATGCCTCGTGTTCTAGTGTGGATCCTCTGGCGAGGCAAGGGTTTTCAGCCGTGCAGCAAACTGTCTCCTTGTAGGCTAGTTTGTAGTTGAGCCCACCGCCCCCCCATTCGCCTCCTGGAAGTAGATTTCTTTCAGGGTTTGGCTGCGCATCCCACAGCAAAAGTGTGCGCTTACCAGCTGCAAGGGGGGAGGGTTTTTGGGGCGTTTGAAAGGGTGGGACGGTGGGCCCTCTGTGACGGTATAACTTGAGAGTCGGACTGGCGCGATCAGCCTTGCATCCTTGGTGCCCCTAACTCATTGTATGTTGTGCACCACTGAACTTCGAGTCGCCGGTCACCGCCTATGTCCTGTCGGAGGGACCGGCTTGTGCAGCTGCCATCAACAACTACTAAGCCACCTTTCCAGGCCCATACATGTCAAAAGCCATTGACAAAAGACAGTGCTCCAACGAGCAGTGGCAATTTTTCAGTACGCTCTGGTGCTTGGTCTGGGGATGCCTGCTGCATCAGACGATATTCATAAAGAAACGGAGCAAAAGTTCCTGTGACAGCACAGCGATGCAAAATCCATCCCTCTGCATTGTAAGATAATGTAAGATATAAGAGACAAGCAGGGTTGCAGCTAGCACATTGTGCCCCATGTGGTGCTGCATTTGCCCGTCCGCCTGGTCATGCTTCCCCGCTCTTGGCACCAAAATTGCCTTCCCTTGCCAGGTGTTTCGTGACAGGATTCCCTATAGCCTGTAGCTTGGTCAGCAAACCACTGCTCCGTTCCAGGACCACTTGAAGTCCGCCGGTGACGTAGCTCACGTCGTGACTTGCCAAGTTGTGACGCCTTGCCCGAAGCTGCACACTGGCTGTCGTGAATATGGCTCTGAGGCAATGCTACCCGGAGCAGGCGCCGGGGCTGCCACTGCTGCTTACACGCCCCCACCTCGGAGTTCCGATAGGCGTCGGAGCATGCCGGAGCTTCTGAAGGGTTGCAATCTGCAGTCGGACGCAACTTTGAGAGCACAAGCTTCAAGCAACAGCAAGTCACGAAAGCTCCAGGAGTGTGAGGTGGTCACCTCATCTGCTCGTTTTTGTGAGAAGCCCCTACAATCAATCAAGTGACACCCTTCAGGACAGCTGCAAACAATGCAAGACAGAGCTGTGAACTCGTCACATGCTGATACCATTATCCGCCTGGGTCAGGGATTTGACGACGTCGGGAACCGATAGAATTCCTGTATGTGGCCTGAATTTCGACGCTGTGTGGCCACCGGAAATAAGGTCGGAAGAGGCAGCGATCCGAGCGGCCGCCACCCTCAACGGATCCTCGTTCCGAAACCAGGTGCGAAAGCAGCACCACCGTACCAATCAAGCAGAAAGAATATGTTCCCGAAAAGAAGCATCAGATGCGGTGCAGGTGCTCAGCGTCGAGGTGATTCCGAGTCCTGTGCAGGTCCGGGTCTGGGCCACTCCGCCACTCCACGCTGGTAGGAACCGCCGACTTGGGCAGGTCACGGCCTCCTTATGAGCTCCCTGGCCTCGGCAGAGCTGGGCAAAAGCGGGGAGCTTCTTAGCGCCAAGATGCGCCAAGTCTGTGAACATCTGTGAACTCTTCGTTGATGGGCTGCACCCTTCTCCCGCATCGATCCTAAGTAGCTGCCAAGTGACCTGTTCGGGTGACAGGTTGCATCACCCAGCGTTTGTAGTTGCCAAGCTCTTGCCGCGCCAGCAGCTCAACTGGTCTTGATGGCCGTCGGTGCGCTGACCTGATCCCTCAACCTTTCCTATAACACTCATCCATTATCAGCTTCTACCGACATCCTCATGTGCCCGGAAAACATGCGAACGAGAACGCAAGCAAATCATGCCTGTGCATAGCTAACATCAGCAGACTAGACCTCCGCAGACGCCTATCGCTTGCCTTGACGATGCCGGCTGCCAATGGAAGTAAGCCTCGCAAGCAGGCGGACAATGCTCGCAGCGTCGACTGACTGCGAACGAACCTGTGCGGCCTGTAGGATGAAACCCAGCAATCCTTCTTCGAGGCGTGGGGCAGTGACGCGGTTTGAACAGGGCGCAGGGCTCCAGTGACTCCAGCGATCTCCAGCGCTTCTCCCGCAGTCGCTGTATGCTGCGCTGGATGCAGACGCCAACGAAATTGCGGATGGCCAGGCCCTGAGTCAGCCTGGGTCTGGCTGCCCGTGTTCTTCGGAATAGGGGGCCTCATGCAGCTGCGGTGCATACTACACGACACCAGATATCCAAAGCCGACCGCACGATGCTGGCGTCTGAGGTTTGTTCCTTGGGGCGGCCAAGGCCTGCCCTCGAAAGCCCTCGAAGCATTGTTGTGATCAGCGGGCTTTAGCTGTACTTTGTTTTTTTTTTCAAGCGGCGAAGCTTCAAACCCTTGCGGGGTGAGCGGAAGGCCAAGCAGAAGTGAAACAAGGGCAAAGAAGATCGGCCCTCATCTGGCGAAGGTCGAGGATCGGCCGCTGGGGCAAAGCGGAAACAGCTACGAGATCGAAAAGCAAACAGTACTGAAAGCTATTCTGCAGTGAACCCCCCACCGAAACTATCTTGGGCCGGGGCAGCTCACCAGTAGATGACAGCCCGAACCAGAGCGGAGCATCCAATCACATTCCCCTGCTTGGCCTGCCCATCGGCCGGTTCTGAGTCGGAGCAGCATTTCGCTTCTTCCCCCACACTGGTCGCCCGCCTTTGAGCTTCTGGGAGAGGTTTGAGTGAGTATGCAGGCAAAGTCAGGCAGCAGAAGCGGAACAGCCCCACTCGAATTGACCACACCTGAAGATGGGTCTGACTTGCGAGAGGCGGTGGGTTTCTGCAGCATAGAAACCCCAGCGTCCTTCTTTGTCCTGCCTTTTCCTTGCTGCTTTCCTTTTCCTTTCCTCCTCGGCCTTGCCTTTCTCGATCCCTGTCTCCTTTTGCTGTCCGTGACAAAGACACTTGGCAGGCTCCATACATGCCCACTCCCGTTACTCCTGTGCGTCCTTTGTCTTCTCCAAATCCTCTCGCCCTTCCTCCTAGACTGTCTCCTTTTTCCGGTAGCGTTCCAACTTCCATAGATGCGTGTAGTGGCGAAAACGAATCTTGAATCTTGAGGCAGCCTCTGACAAGGCGGCAATGAAGAAGCGGAAGATTTCTCACGTTTGCCGCCAAGGAAGTTTCTCATAGCTGCCTTGTACTCGACCTGCAGAGTCCAGATCGTCTTCTTTGAGGTGCTCATCGCGCACCCAACCATGCCGGAGAAGCACCCGCAGCACTTCAAGCCCGGCACAGCAGGAGATCGGAGATGAAGCCTTCAGCTTTTCATCAAATGAGGTATGGCCGGGCACCCCTGGTCGATCTGCCAGCTTTCAATCTGCCACGGCCCAAGACAGCCAAGACTTGAAGCTTTTGGCTGGCTCAGTGTGTTTCCAATCTACTATCAGCAAGAACTGCATGGCTGGTAGAACCTGAAGTAGCACTACACTTGGCATATCTATAGTTTCCATGGATGCGTATGCAGGCCTGCGAGAACTTATGTCACTTTAGAAATATCGAAACATGCAGCAGCAACCCTTGGCGAGCTGAGCAAGCTCCGGTCGGCACAGTGCAGGAGGATTTTTGGATGCCACCTCAAACATTTGTAGGATCCTAGGTGCTGGCACTTGCGGCACTAGCGCATTAGTGCCTCGGCCCGGGACATTCACATGAACAGTGCCCCCCTCGCATGCAGTGCTCGATAAAGGCTAGGAACCTGGGGGTGCAAGGAAGCGCCATGAAGCGCCCAGCGCAGCCTTGAGGTTGGAGCAGATCCCAGATGCCATGGCCTTCCTGCGAGAGGCAAAGGGTTGAAGTTGGACATGCCAGGGTCTGCCATGCTTTGCTTCTCATGTGCGGGATGTTCGAGACGCTCCGCCGCTTCTCTCAGAGCAGTCCGAGCTTTGATCCCTCGAGCCTCCGAGCCTTCCCTCACGGCAACACGGCCATGGCAGCGATGCGCGCCTTGAGCAGGCTGGAGCCCCCTATACTTGTGAGCGGACACGGCACGGAAAGCAACCGAGGCAGTTCCTTCAAACACCACGCACCCTGGCACGGCATGCACCTGCTGCATCCTTTGCGAGTGCACAATTCAAGGCCTCCACAGCTTTCAGTTATCCCCCGCTTTCGTCGAGCATGATTTCTTGCTACATCAGCATGGTAAGCTTCGTCGTCTTGCATTGTCTTGTGCGAGGTTTGCATCAACGGAGGTGCAGGAGGGATCGGGCAACCATTGAGCATGCTAATGTCTATGAACGATTCGGTGAAGGAGGCACGGTACACTACGCAGAAACTGCGAAAAGTGCTGCAAGCCTGCCGCGCCGGCCTTCCAGGTTTCCATCCAGGATGTGACAATGGCAGCTGTCATGCTCTCAACAAGTGGATGTGATTCCACCGTGCAAGTGCGCAAGCGTGCACAGCCTTCAATGGAAATGTCATTTCCGCCGAGGTTCCTCCTGCAGGAGTTGCTGCAGACCTTGGACATCTCGAGTATCCCAGCAAGGCTTCGAGGGTCGGAGCATAGACGAAGCACTTTGCCATGCCCGACAATGAGCAAGAGACCGATGTAGGGGTAGGGGAGACAGCGGGAAGTGGGAGAAGGTTGGGACATGGACGGGCCATGGCAGTGTTGGGTCTTATTTTCGGTCACGGAGACGAAGGCCACACGTCGCCGTAGGTTGAACTCGATGTGGACTTCGGGTGTCAAGTCCTTGCTTCTTCAGGCTTCGGCAATTCTGAAACAAGAGCATTTAGGGCATTTAGGGCCATTGCGACCACAAAATGGCCAGCGACTCAACGCCCTGCAAGTGAGCGATCATCGTGCACGTCAGTGGCAACAATTTCGTCGCTATGTGCTACTGTCCGCCTGGTTCCCAAACTCGCCTGTGTCGCGAGTCAATTCAGCGTCACACGCCTTCTTCAGACTCGTGGTAAATTCACGGTTATTATTATGACGATCGCAATTACCACACTCTCACGACCTCCCTTACGGCTGCTGCTAGTATTATGCTGCCCGTTTTGTCAGTGTCATTAGTAGTATTAAAAGTATCACGTATTACTCGAATTCCGACTGTATTAGTAAAGTACTGTTAGTCTTAGCAGGCGAACAACGACAGCGCCAGCATTTGGAAAAGCACGGCACTGGAAATCACTAGCACGAGCAATTTCGTGGAACTCCAATTTCGCTGGTTGGATAGTCCGGCCGTTACTTTTCCGTCCTGCCCAGGGCATGAATCCCTGAAGCCTTGGCTTACTCTTCAAATTAGCCGTCCATGGAGCATCCCGCCAGCTCTGTCTTTATTGCAAACACAGATGGCAGGGTGAGCAGGGAGTCCAGGGAGAGGCGCAGGCGGCAATTGGAACACTGCTTAAATCAATCAGGTGCGGATGGAAACGGTATCGAGGAAGCCTTAAGAGGCTATATGGAAAAACATGGACAAGGGCTGGGGCGGTGAGGATATGAGGAACGCAGGAAGAGTATCGATGCCAGTGGCTTGGAAAGAGCGCAGGCTACCTTTTGGATGCTCAGTTTAAGAATCAAGCACCATAAGCACCAGTGCCATGATGGAATGCAGCATCGGAGAGAAAAGACAGTTCGGAAAGGCAGAGAGGAAGGAGGAAAGCGGGCATGGGCCGTGGAAATGACGAGGAGAACATGAAGGGACTTGTAGGAAGAGGATCCGGAAAAGCGACAGGGAGGGGGCGCGAGCCACCACTGGAATGTAAGATATGTAAGAGCATGAAGGGCGAAGCATCAGGACCTCGGCAGCTTTGGCTCCAGTCTCGGCCCCTGCATCACACTTCCCCCCGAAAATCCGCAAAGATTAGACTAGAGGTGATTAGAGTTATCTGGCGTCACGTGATTAGATGTTCTGAGGCTTCGTCATGTGCGCAGCCAGTTGTACTTCCGCAGGCGATGCTTTGGAAGCTCACTGTACTTGTAGTGTGGCTCCCGTAGTGTGGCATCTGCGTCCATGTCATCATGGCAATGACGACGCAAGGGCTGCATGGGGCTATGACTCAACTTCGATGTCTCACACGTGCGCGATGCCTGGGTCGCACGGCTCGGCAGATTATGGAAACCGAGAAGCTTGAGCGCATCTTGCGGCGTGACAAGAGAAATCCCTATCTAGGGGCAGTCAAGCGCCCGCCACGGCAAGCAACCCAGTCTGTGAGTTTCCTGCAGATGTTTCCTCGAGAGATGCTGGACTGGAGCTTTGAAGATCTGGAGCAAGAGGTGAAGTCGGGTGGCAAGCAAGCCGCGCGTGCGAAGATCGCCTTGCATTGGCTTCTGAGCCCTCTCTTTGACAAACCGACCTGAGGGGGTTCGATCTTGACAGCACCAAGCAATCCGTCAATGCCAAAAAGGTTTGACAGACAGTCTACAGAACGTGCACACGCCCGCTGCGCTGATGCTGAGCCAGCTTCAAACAGTGATGTTCGCATGTTTTGTTCTTGTCGCATCTGCATGGCGAAAAGTTTCGCGCAATGATGCATCGTGTTCTCATGCTGCCTTTACGTTGCGAAACCCCAGCCTATCACGAAGAGTCCTGATCGCGTGCAGGTGGTTGGCTACGCCACCGATCCCTCGAAACCCGCTGTGGATCAGCTGGAAGAGTGCCTCACAGGCTGCCACCTGGTCCTCGTCCCTGCCGGCGCACCTCGGTGAAAGGTTGCACATGTCGCTCCGCAGTCGGAGTTGGCGTAGCGGCGTAGCGATCCGAGGTGCCGAGAAAGCCCGGCATGACTAGAGACGACCTCTTCAACGTGAATGCCGGCATTGCCAAGGGTGTTGTTGAAGCCTGTGCGAAGTATTGCCCAGATGCGGCCAAGGCCTCAAGGCAAGGCTTGTCAGGCTTGTCATATGCAGCTGATCGGCGGCTTGCGAGTCACTTGTAAGTACAGTAAGGTCATTGGCCTCATCGTGAATCCAGCACCATGGCTCCGTGCAGCCCCATAGCACTTGAGAGGATTTTCTGATGAGCTGCAGGTAAACTCTATCGTGCCTGCAATGGCCGAATTCTACAAGAAGAAAGGCCCGATATACATTTTTGACGAGATTAAGCGTGAATTTCGCTTCATGCTTGCATGGCTCCGTCGAAGCGGTACCGTGACGGAGGCCTGGACCCGCTGAAGATTGTGGGTGTCACTTCCCTGGACATCGTCCGAGCCAACAAATTCGTCGCCGGGCTGACTGGCAAGTCGCCCGGGGAGATCGAGGTTCCGGTCATCGGCGGCCATGCCGGCGTGACGATCATGCCAGTCTTTTCGCAGGACACATCCCATCACGGCATCACGGCCTACTGTAGCTACGGCCAGCGCGGCTGGCAAATAGTGCGAGAGATTCACGTGGCTTCTTCCTGCCAACAGGACCCCACTGCCGCGACCATTTCAGCGGACAAGCATGCTGGCTGCACCCCGAAAACCTTTGTCAGCACATTATAACTACAGCATGGATGGTTTGGGATGAGCCAAGGATTCCGGCTTTGGACAAGCGCACGCAAGATGGCGGCACCGAGGCATTCTGTCTTCCAGTCGAGAACAAAGGACAAGAAACTCTGATTCGGGCAATCGACAGGTCGTCGAGGCCAAAGCTGGCAAGGGCAGTGCGACGCTGTCCATGGCCTACTCGGGCGCACGTTTCGGGAACAAGGCCGATTGCCTTCTGCTTTGCATAGCTATGTTGTAGGGGTCTTTCCGCACTCGCCCGCAGGTTCTGAAAGGATTGGCTGGCACTCCGACTGATGAGTGTGCCTACGTGGCTTCCACTGTTACGGAACTTCCCTACTTCTCATCGAAGGCCACTCCTCAACTCCCGTCATGCTGTGCTGCGGGTTGCGGTCCGAACGAGCATCTGCTAATGCGGACGGCGATTGCAGTAATGCATAAACCTGGACAGCCAGGTGACTTTCGGAACCAAGGGAGTTGAGAAGATCCACGGCATCGGCACTCTGAACAGCTACGAGCAGGGCCGACTAAAGGAGGTCCGTTGTCTAGCCGCCTAGCCATAGCCGCAAAGTACAGTGAGCAGACTCTGGGCATGTTCAACTTCGCAGCTCTTTGGGCCGCAGGCAATGGACCAGCTCAAAACGGAGATTGACAAGGGTCTGGAGTATGCCAAGGCTAATTTCTAAAGCTTCGACATGATTGAGAACCGCGCCTTTCGGTCGCAACTTGTAAGCTTGATCATGACAACATGTTCTCGCTATCCTAACGGCTATGCAGACGCCTGAACATCCGGGCCGTTCCGCATTGATTTAAAGAACTCATGTCCTCAGCAAGACGTGGACTTCACTGGCTGATTTTGCATCATCCCTCGGGGAGGTGGAGTTGCCGACGCTAGATGAAAAAACTTGACCGTCCGGTTGCTGCATCATGTGATGAATCATACGATGCTGCATATGAATCCGGCGTGTCATTTCCGCTTGAAGGCACGATCCAAAGGCGGCAAGGCCCACAGACACAGCATCGCATGACTCAAGGGAGTTATAGATCGATAGATCCTCACATGACGGCAGGTGTTCTGCTATTGCGCGAAGGGCATCTCGCGAAGCTCCAGCCTCGTGATCGCAGTCCTGTCCTGCATTAAAAATCGATCTATGTATCTGAAGTGTAAAGTGAACGCTGTTTTCACTGTGGCGCTGGGAGATGTTTCCACCTTGCCCGGAGCTTTTACTTCAAGAATTCCTGCATTGTACTGCAATGGCGGCCGGGCGGCACCTGGGCTCCGAAGAGAGCTCCGATTCCTCCGAGACTGGAACTTTCACTCATGAGCCTTTGTAGGGGCCCATGGCTTCGGACCTTTGGCCTGGACATGGGTTTCAGCAGTCGTTTGTCCTGCTTGCGTACTCCCTTGTTATCTCCATGTGGTTGCTGAGGTGCACAGCCCTCATCACTGCTGGCTTTGCTCTCTGCGATCTCACCACACGCACCCTCCCTTTTGTTGGCAACCCTCGGACAAGCCTGGCCGGACATGCGAGACTGAAAAGCTTTGCGCGGACCGCCTGCAAGGACAGCTGTCCCGCGTGACCTTCTTGTCAGCAGTCTCCTCACGTTCCAGGTAGTCCCGCATCCTGGATTCAAGTCGAGTTCACAGCTCGCGGTTGAGATTTCCACTCCCCCGCCCCGCCCGGGTTCCTCGAAAGAATCAGCAGCATGCTCTTGGCGGCTAGCAGGAGACACCACTCCTTGACGAGGAGAGCAATGACCTGTTCCTGCTGCTCAGGGGCATGACAACCGTGACCTAGCTCAGAAGGAGTTGAGTGGCATGATGGCAGTCTCTAAAGGCCAGACGAAGTTTCCGGAAACCCTCAGCCCTCTTCAATGAAGGCCCTGCGTGCGAGACAGCACAAACAATGCCATGGACCGCGACAGTCGGAAGATGATTGCTTCCCCACCCCAACTTCGGCGAGCCCCCCGAGCCACCATGTGACACCTACGTTGTATCATCCGTGCTTTGTGTGCTGGTCTGCTCTGTCCGTGTTTCCTCAGAAGTCAGCACCTGCGTCCGGCAAAAGTTGATTCAAGCTCCTGACTTTCTCCTGCTCAGGTCAGCTTCTGCACAGGCGCTCCTCCAATTCCCTGGCTTCGAGAAAGGCTTGCAGCGGTGTTGGCCGCAAACCCCTGGCTAGCAGGAAGCCTCATCAGGACCTCGTCTGAGGCCGGGGACAAGAAGGGTCCGATTCTCTGCAAATTCGCCGATGAACAATTAAACAAAGGCTGCAGATTTGCAACAGCAGCATGCGCACCTTTGCTCACAAGTAACTGGGTTGACATCAGCAAGTAGGCCACCAGGACACAACTTGAAGAATAATTCGTGTCATCCAGGGATCTAATCCGGACATCGTTTGCAAGCCAGCGTCATCCTTGCCTAGCATCCTTCCGAGTCTGGCTTGAGACACCAGGATCGCGTGTTTCTTCGGTATGAGGAAGATACACGCGAAGAAGCCGGGCATGAACTTTTACAAAGCATCGGGTTGCTCAGTTGCAGAGACCTCCCAAAGCACCTCGCGGCAGCCGAAGCCTGTTAACTGGCAGTGCTGCGAGCCACGTGAGGCCTGACATACTTGACATACACCCCGACATGCCCTACGACATGCTGACGAAGAAAGTGAGTGGTTCCTGTGCTGAAGTTCCGCCAGAGGCTCAGGCACGGCGTGCCGGCCGGGCTTGGTCCAGGGTAGCACGTCTGATCAGGTCTGGGGTGGAGTGCCTGCGGAATTCCAGCCATCCTTTGCTGAAAGTGACGATCTGCAGCTCTTCGAGTCGTCTCCCCGAAAACCGTCAAAGCAGTGATTGGCAGTCGAAAAGAATGCTGATGAGGTGATCACTTTGCCCTTCTCGTCTCGCTGTCGCACATCATTGCTGATGGGTTCCTCACCAGAAAAATGGCCACAAGGGTGACCCCATGATCCCCGAAGATGTGAGAGGTACACCTACTACAGGATCTTCCACATGCTGACGCGCAAGCTGACACCAGTCCTTTCCCTGAGACCGGAGCGAAAGTTGGCTTTCCATCAAGAGCGTTTGCGCGCTCTTGGCCGGCACTCGGCTCAGTGCCACAACTGCTTAGCGGTGCTTTGCGACACTCGCACTTGGTGATTTCTGGCGCCTTCCAGGCCTGAATACGAGTTCATCTTCTCGCCAGCATATGTGCTCAACTCCCTCACCAGCAAATACTTATGGGGAAGACCACAATGCGGGATCCTCAGCATAAAGTCGCACTTTGATGACTTTTCGCATGATGCTCTTCGAAGGCCGTGCCTATGTCATCAATATGGAGAAGGTCAAACAACTTCAGGCGTGGCAGTCGTGATGCTCGCATCTTGACCATGAGGCGTGCCCGGTGAGCAGGTCCAAGCTGCGAAGACTGTGCCAGCCGTGCCTCTCTCGACGAGACTCGGCTGGTGATCAGCACCGCCGCAGCGGATGTTCAAGATCGAAGTGAAGCCCTGAGGAACGACATCGTAACGTCCAGTGTTGCAAGGCTCTTCGGGGCGCGTGCAGCGCGCTCAATTTCCGGGCTATAGTAGAAGCCCAAAAGTCAATAGCCTCCATCCTTGACAGAGTAATGTATACGTAGCACAGGGAATCTCAGCGCCATTTGTCCTTAATCCGGTTTCCAATGTCTTGGGGTTTACTATAGCCTGTTTCAAGACAACTCAACACTTTGCTGAGGCTTGTTCCATGGCCGTGAACTTCCGTGGACGCCTAGCCAACCTATCGGAGGTAGGTAGCATTTGCGTCAGTGCTGTGCTGGTTGTACACGTGTGCCTCCGTCTCTGTTCTATGTCGTCTTTCTGTGTTTTTTGTTGTTGCTCGCCTCTTTGTTTATGCATGCATTTGGAAGACCTACGTAGGTGTGGGTAAGCGGTGGGTATGCTGGCGGGTACGAGCAGGACGATGCTGGCAACTACCAGGCGAGGCACTTAACAGTTCGGCGAGTGTGGGCGGCGGTCCTCGCCGGAAGGGCTTGCTGCATGGTGTCATTTCTCCTTGCTTAGGGTCTACTGTGGTTTGGTCCCGATGACATCTCGGGCCCGAGTCTGGTCCGGGCAGCGTTGGAGCAGGGAAGACAACACGGAGTCTATCGACGATGTGGCGATCCAGCAGCTTTGCAGCAGCTTTTCACTTGCACTTTCTTCATTTGGCATCCTGCCGCTCTCGCTCTCGACTCACCCTCAAGGATGGCCAACTGCCCGGCTTTTGGGAGATGCTTTGCTCACGCCTGGCGGTCTGCTCCTGAAAGCAGTCAAGTCCATGGTCCATGGTGTTTATGAGAATATTGCTCGTCAGGTCATAACCAGCTGGGTGTTTAAAGACGAGCCGATGTTGGAGGGGTGCACGATGGGGCTGCACCTCCCCCATTTCGACTTGGATGAGGCCAGGAAGTCTCTTCCCGGTCCTCCACATAAGCTGCTCGTGCAACAGGTTAATTCGGACATGGCCGTAATCTTCAGACCGCGACCAGGACAACAGGCAGCCTGAGGCCCAGTAGTGCGGTGTTCTGAGTTTTGAGGACACATGCGAACCGATCTTCCACAAGGCATCAAAAGGCATACAAGCAACTTCGCCGAGTGAGGTCATGCTGTTCACAAAGGACCTGAATGTGGATGTACTAGCGACGGCGCCGGACAGTGTCCTTGGAGAGCCCGTCGTATTCTCTGCATCACAGGGAAAAAGCTTGCAGCACCTCGCGGCTGATAGAAAATGGCGAGTTTGCAGTTACAGCGACTCTGAGAGCGCCAGGCCTTGCTGATGCTGGAGCGAGGCATCTCTTTTGAAGAAGCGTGGACCTTCTGTGAGAAGCTTTGATCTCAGAGTGATGCGATGTCACCTGAGTTGTGACTGTTGGCTGTCCGGGTCTGTACATTGGCTCTCCAGCGGCCCCAAGATGCCGTTTCAAACCAGTTATGGATTTCGTACGTGGCCTGGGCTATCCAACAGCTCCGGAAAGTTGCGTCTGCATGGACATATCAGTCTGATGCCGTTGTTCTCGGAGCACCGAGGAGACGGCCCATCGTGTATCCCAATGACGAGACCTCGGATGTACGGCAGACAGCCCTTTCCCATTCTCTTAAGCTATCAGGTCGGATTTCAGCAACAGCTTCGTCATCTTGAAAAAGTGATGACTGAGAAAGTCGACTTCAAGGCCTTCAGAGACGAGACACGACGAGACACCTCGAGACACGACGAGAGAGATCGTTTTTGACGGAGGCAACTTGGCAGAAGCAGGTGAAGCAGCTCCGAGAGGCTCTCACGATCTGACACTGCCACGATCTGCCACGGCCACGATGCTTTCTTCGGAGGCTTTGCCCAAAGGCGATTTGGAAGGGCCAAAGCTCGCTGCCAAGTCAAGAGAGGCACCTCGTTCTACTGCCCTCAGCCGAACTCTGGCTCCAAGGTCTCCACTTCCGATCCGGGATGCGATTGGCTCCTGCATGGGTGCCGTCCGAGCCTTGTGTTAGCACCCGGTCACAGCATGATGACATTCGTGGCCGAGGCACTGAACGAGCTGGAGGCCCTCGTAGACAAGGACCTGGGGTGTTGGGGCCAAGCCTTCTTCGGCTTCACGATCTTCGGACTCGCAATCGCGGTACCGGTAGGTTCTTTCTCAACCGCAGCGCTCGTCTCAGATTCGGCGAAAGAGTGAAGACAGCAGGATTGCAGGCTGCGCGGCTATCTCTTGGCTTTCAGGCTGCTTCAAAAGAGGGAGCTATGGAAAAGACAAGGGTTTTGAGCTCGGTGGGTTGCAGTGATCCTCAAATTTGCTTCCACCTTGCCCTGTCACGATGAGTTCCTGAGCGGCCAGCTGGGTTACAGAGAGGCCACAGCACATCGAAGCTCAGGGCCCAAGGGGTAGGCATGTCTGAAGACGTTGACATCTGCTGTCCTGCGATGCTCTGCTGCGAACATGGCCGGCACCGACGATCAGCTTGCACTTCTGTCCTCTATAACAGGTTCAGACCTGTCAGCTTGCCGTGCAGCTCTGGTCAATGCAAAAGGGGACATCAATCTGGCGGCCCAACTTCTATTGTCCGACGCCTCCATGACCACAGACGGGCTTCTATTCGGGGATTGTTCGGAGTGTCATGAAACCAATGTTCCAGGATACTTCGGTCAAGGCTCCGATGCCGAGACCTTTTACTGCCAATCCTGTTGGAGTCGATGGGATGGAGTTGGGCACATGCAGGAGGAGCAAGAGAATATGTTGCAGCGAGATCTTGGTCTACTTGAGGCAGCGACTCTCGATGAGCTCGGCCAGGCGCTCCTGAGGCGCGTAGCTGAAAATTGGCGGAGCCCGCTGGACCGCACTGCAAACCAATTTGCATGGAACGCCACTGGTAAAGAATCCTGGAACAGGGTCGCGCGTGCCGCGGCCACTGCGGTGGCATCTAAGGCTGGGGTCATGGCAAGCGCTGCGAGCTTTCTCGCCGGAGCTGTGCAGATGGCCGGAGAAGACTTGTGGAAGTTGCTGACCATCTACGAAATCCAAGTGGCGTCGCAATTGCCAAGAACGTCCTCTGGAGCCAAAGCCATGGCTAAAGCCGCAGGTTGCACGGGTCTTGCGTGCCCAGGCATCCTAGGACAAACGGAGGAGGTGGATGTCTACATCTACGACTATGGAAAGCTTGATGTCATTTTCAGGTTGCGATCCGACGGCATGCCAGCTTCAGCCCTTCTGTACGACCCTGCGTGCACTATGTGCCCAATTGGAATTGGCGTTTCTGGTCTCTGCGTGTCTCGATTTACACTATATCCGCAGACACAGGCTTCCGGAGTTGGTGGGCTGCCACTGGCTGCAGTGCTTTGGGAGCTCCTTCTGGGCCCTCGCAACCTTCCCGAAGCTGTTGCCTTTCTCAGAAGCCTCTTTGACGGCCGAAGGGTTGCGATGGCTTCCGGTGCTGCGTTGCTGCTGATGCAGCCAGGTCATGGCATGGTAATGGTCGAGTGGTCACGCAACAGAATCCACATTTCTCCTGAAGTCTTCGAGGGTGTCCTGGTTCACGCAAACCACTGTGCACTTGGCTCTAGCTTGAAAGATGAGGATCATCGGAGCATTTCAAGGCTCTTGGAAGAAAGCAAGCGACGCCAGTCAAAGATTGAGGAGCTCTATGCAGAAAAGCTGCTGGCAGGAACATCCACTCAGCTGGGCTTGGGTCAAGTGCAGGCGTTCTTGTCCGCAGAGGGCATACAGAATGATGATGTACTTGCAACCGTGATAAGCTGCCCAGAGAAGCGCGAGCTGCACGTTCGGTTTCGTTTGCAAGTTTCTGGCATGGAGATGGTGGAGGATACGCTGGCGTGTGATTTCTGGCAATGCTTTACTTAGGGCTGTTTGCACATCCACTATGTACGAAATGGACCCACCTTGCCCGCCCGGCTTGTCCGCCAGCACCCGGAACAAGGCTTCGAGCTTTGGAAGTTGCGAGTTTCCACCGCACCGGCCCAGAGTCCGAAAGCACAAGCCAGGCTCTTCTTCGAGAACCTGCACAAGTACAAGTCCAGTGCTCAGACGCTGCTCAGCAAGCCTCAAGCTCCCATCACACGCCATGTGAAGAACTTCCCTGATACTCGTAGCTGTTCAGGGCCATTCCCGGAGACCTGGGACTACTGAGCCGTGCCAAAGTGGCGGCTGATCAGTTGAGGCTCCAAGTCTTTTCGGGTGATGGCCTAATGAGTCAAGTCTTGTTTAGCGAGCTTTGGTTGAGGTGCATTTTCCTACCTACATCGCCAGATGTCCTAGTCTACCGCCAGGTCACTTCAGAAAGTTTACAGCGACTCCCTGAAAGGAGTTCGCTGCCAAGCTTTAGAAGCACAACTCTCTGCCTCTCTGCGACGCTGCGCTCGTCGTGACCGTAGCGACCGGTGGTCAGGTCAAGTTAGCCAATGCTGTTGCACAGGAATTGGAGGCCTGTTGCGCACTTGATCTTGAGTGCAGACGGTGCATACTGTCATAGAGTGTCCAGGACTGGTCCAAAGTGGCTGCACCGGAGCTCGAGAAAGCCGAAGCCGAAGGTGCGCGGTGCGGGCCGTAAACCGAACTTCTGAGCGCGAGTCACCGATGCTGTGGTGCTGCAGTCTGCAGCTGCCACTGTGCACCAGGCCAGTCTGAAGCAAAGGAAGAGAAGCTCCCCCAGGTTACGCCACGTAGTTTGCAAGCGGAGAGTTTCGCGCTAGCGCTTTCGGAGGAGCTCAGCAAGAAAGACAAGAAAAGACTGAAGAAGGACCATTGTCATCCCAGCAGAGCTGTGTTGTGGACGTAGGTGTTCTCATTCAGGAGAAGAAGCGCGCGAAAAAGGCCAAGAAAGCCGAAAAGAAAGCCGCCAAGGTGCGGGCCAGTTTTCCTTTTGAGTGCGATGCCTGGCTGGGCCAGCGCAGATGCTGCTACTACGAGGAGAGCGGAACAGCAGAATCTACTCTAGTCCGAGTATACTGGTCGTCTAGAAGGCTAGAAGGCCAGGCTTCGGGTCGGAAGTTTGCTTCTCGGTGTCTTGCAGACCTTGGCCAAGATCGAAGAGGCTGCAAAGGAGGCGCTCACTGTTCGCCGCTCCGCGCCGCTCCGCAGCATCGCCTCGCGAGCTTTGCTTGCGAGGCCGAGCACATCGCGAAGCTGGCGGGTGAAGAGGAAGCTGAGGCCCGGCTGGTATCCGCCAACGCAGCATCAGTTCCTGCGGCCTTTCGTTGCAGGCTGCCAGAAGAATAGCCGAGGTGGAGGAGGAGCTTGCGGCAGCTGAGGCTGCACAGACTTTGAAGTTAGGCTGTTAGGCAAACAGAATGCTTTTCTTTTGCGCAGGCGGCAGCGGCTGCTGCCGAGGAGTCCTCATCGGAAGATCCTGAGATGGCCAGCCGGGCAGGGGTGATTGGATAAATCAGGATTCGGGATTGCTGAGCAGCCGTCATAAGCTACGAACTGCAACCCAGTCACGAATGAATGGAGCAGATGCCTGCACCTCTTTGTGGTTTGCAGGTGGCCAAAGCAGCAAGGCTTCGAGAACAACTCAACGAAGCCTACGAGCATTCTGCAAACGTGTGATGCTTGGCAGGGATGCGGCAGTGTTACAGGGATTTTGAGCTCTGCATGCGGAACGATGCGGGTCGGCTGTCGGGTTTGCAGCGAACTGTTCATAGCACTGAGGTTGCCTTGAAAGCAGCAGAAAAGGCTGAGGCAAGCACTGCTTGGGTTTACATATTTCGACGCGACGCGGCCCGTCTCGGCTCGTGTGTTAGCACTTGCTGAGTTCTTCTGATGGTTGTTTCGATAATCCGGAGCGGGGCTGGGAAGCGGAGGGGAGAGGGGAGGCGGGGCGGGAGCGACTGCGAGCTTTGCACACAAGGATTGGCTGTGATGATACGGTTATGCCGACCGCCAGCAGCCGCAGCCAAAATCCGCACCGAATGCTGCTGCAAAGAAACGAGCATGCAGGACTTAGGTCAGCGCATGTCAGAAACGAGCAAAAGAAGTCTGGTTCCCCCTCTATCACCACCTTTGGTGATCACCCGCAAGATCCCACAAGCCTGCCCTGCAAGGCGACGGTCAAGTCCAAGAAGCGCGCAAGGCTTCGATTCCAGAATTCGACCAGAAACTGTCTGGTGGCAGTGACGGAACTTGAGCTTGAAGGGAAGATGTGACCTGAAGATGCCCCAGATCTGACGTCCCATCTAGCTTTCACGTTGGAGGTCATCCTCCTCTTCTGGGGCTTCGGCCTTACACGACGATGGAAAGTGTACTCTTTTTGAACCTGACTCTTACTGGCTCTTTCTGGACTCAGGATAGTTCGGACGACTGACTGCCAAAGTCAACTGCAGATCATCGGGAAGAGTCGTCGCGTGCATCGTTTAGATGAAGCCCCGACAGCACTGCGGTTCACATGAGTCACAACCTGATGCAGAAAGCTGTTGCGCCTGCGACGCATGCGTGCTTTTGCTCCAAAGGGCTTCGGGTTTAGGGCAGTTTGGGGTTCAAAGATTAGTCTTCGTGTCTTGAAATTCCAGCTGCAGTGACGTAGTCGCTTCGACCTTGGAGATCAGATAAGGCTTTCAAAAAGTATTTGGGTTTCTGGACCGTAGAGACGGGCCCAACGCCGCACCGGGTGGCCCCTGCAAAAAGTTGCAGGCGAGAGCTGCATCGCGAGGCTGATGCATTGATGCAGCGTCAGTGCAGTGCAGGCTATGGCCCATGGGCGGCGAAGCTGGGCCTGGAGGGTCGGTACCGAGAGCCTGAGGAGCTCGAGAAGTCTCTCCCGTTCTGGCAGGTTCTTGCCTTTGTGGCACTGCCAGAGCTGGCCTCTGCCTTCATCGAGGTGCAGCAACGGTATATGTAGTGACGACGTAGTGCTCGTTCCAGAAGCCTTGCAACCCATCCTCGGCACAGGAGATTTTTCAGCAGTTTGGCGGAGGTGGAGGGCAACAGCTCCGGGCTGAGATGAAGGAACGACTTCCACAAAAAAACACATCGTAATCGCTTGCCATACATCGCCATACAGCAGAACAGACCTTGAATGTGGCAGAACAGCCGAAATGGACACGGTTTACCCTCGCAGCCGGTTTGCCCATTGCATGTACCACATGGACTGGGACCTCATTGCTTCCAGCCGCTACAAGTACGGTATGGTGAAAGTATGAACGGCGCAAATAGCTAATATTTATGAAGCACATGGGTATTTCTATGTACATCCTTTACATATATGTATATACACACACATACATATACATACATATGCAGGATGTACCCATGCATTCCTGCGTGCATGCATGATGAGTACATGCAGGCATACATACGTGCATCTGTGTGTGTATATGTAAGAACTGTGTATACAGATAGGTAGATAGATAGATAGATAGACAACCGACGGACAGACAGACGGACGGACGGACAGACCGAGACAGAGCGAGAGAGACCGCACAAGGCCCCGTTACAGGGGTGGGCCTCTCGGCCCGGGACTCCTGAAAAGACTACCACATCCCGAAGTGAAGTGAAGTGAAGTGAAGTGAAGTGAAGTGAAGTGAAGTGAAGTGACGTGAAGTGAAGGGAGCGAAACAGAGAGACAGACTGGATGGGTGGATAGGTGGATAGATACATAGTTAGATAGTTAAAGATAGATAGATGGATGGATAGATGGATAGATCAACAGATAGATCGATAGATAGATAGATAGATAGGCAGATACGCATGCATTCATGTACGGAAACATGAATGTGTGGATGGACGGACGTTCCGCGTGTGTGTGTGTGTACATATATATATATATGTATATCATATAATATGCATGAGTGTATGTACCTGCAAGCGTCTGTACGCACTTTTTTTGTGTGGTGTATTTCGTTTGTTATGTTTGTACGCGTGTGTATGTATGTTCGTATGTCCGCCTGTCTGTCTGCCTGTCTGTCTGTCTCTATGTGCGTATGTGTTCTTGCCCATATGCATCTGTCCCAGGGGTGCCATGGAAAGATAGGTAGAAAGACAGGGAGATATCCACACATACAGACATACATATATATATATATGCATATACATACATGCACAAAAACACACACACACACACACACACACACACACACACACACACACACACACCCAGACACCCAGACACCCAGACAC